ACACCCGGCCGGTCCCATCGTCGAAGTAGTCCGGCTGGTACATGTACAGCGTGACGTAGCTGCTGACCGGCGAGTACATCTCGTCGTAGTCGGCGCCGTACACCTGCGTGAAGCCCTTCACAACCAGCCTCGCCTTCTCGCGCTTGACGGTGTCGTCGATGCGGTACTTGGTCGTCAGCACCCACGTGTTCTTCATAATGTTCACCCCACGTGGGCGTTCGACCAGCTCCCAGGTGCCCATGCTGATAAGGCTGCGGATCTCCTCTTCCGTGGCGACCTTCAGTGCCTCGCCCTTCCAGCTCGCCAGCGCCTCCTTCACCGTCATCATCGCGATGTCCCAGCGGTGCTCGGGGTCGGCATGCATGTCGGGGTCGAGCTCCGGCAAGCTGACGTCCTGCTCGGCATTGTCGTACAGCAGGTCATCATCAGCGTTGTCGTACACCGTGTGTTGAAGGCAGCCGGTCGCAAACACGCGTAGTAGCACAGCCACGCGAGCAGCCGATGAGCTTGACCAGAGTGACTTAGCTGAGGATCAGGCTTCTCAACCAAAACTTCAACCACATCACTGTCGGTGGACTCTTCTCCTGCCGACATCTCCCCTTTCTCGTCGACGTCCTCGTCGTGGACCAGCGTTGGATCTTCAACCGTCTGCTCCCCTCTCGACTGTCCCGTCTGCTGCTCCCCTGTCAACTGAACCCCTGCTGGTGCCTCCTGTTCGACCGGCGGCTCCCCTGTTTGCTGCTCCCCTGTTGTCGACAGCTTCACGTCCTTGTCGACGATCTTGGCGCCTTACCGGCAGCCGACGATGCCACTGGCCGGCGCCTCAGACGATGCCCCCAGGCATACGTTTGTTAATTTCAAACAAGGTTTATTTTAATCATTCAAATATTCTTGTATATTCCAAGCATGTGGGAAAAGTGTGATGCCATTCGCCACATCCGGTAGGAAGATATGTTGTTTCGAACAATGAGGAGGGAAAACTGTGCAAGGATATGCATGTGCGAGGCGTCGTGCCATTTCGACGTCCGTTGATTATTTTTTTACAAAGATTCTTTCGATCAAGTGAACATTCTAGTATAGTGCAAGCATTCAGGACAAGTTTGGTTCCATTCGCAGCACGTGGTAGGAAGATCTATTGTTCCGAACATTAGTGCAGCCAATACTTGCATGGTTTTCCCTGCTCAATTGTTCGAAACGTCATATCTTCATACCAGATGCTGGGAATGGCACCAAATTGTTCGACAATGCTATATATATAGTAAATGCTTGAATGATCACAAGAAACCTTGTTCAAAATAACAAATGGACGATGATTTGGCACCACGTGTTGCACAGGCCTATCCTTGCACAGTTTTCCATGCTCAATTGTTCGAAACGTCATATGTTCCTACACCAAAGGCTGCGAATGGCACAAAATGTTCCAAAATGCTATAAATATAGTAAATGATTGAATGGTCACAAGAAACCTTGTTTAAAATAACAAATGGATGTTAATTTGGCACCAAGTGTCGCACAGGCCTATCCTTGCACAGTTTTCCCTGCTCAATTGTTCGAAACAACATATCTTCCTACCAGATGTTGCGAATGGCGCCAAAATTGTGCCAAAGTGATATATATGTATATATAGTACATGCTTGAGTGGTCAAAAGAAACATTGTTCATAATAACAAACGGACGATAATTTGGCACCACGTGTCGCACAGGCCTATCCTTGCATGTTTTTCCCTGCTTAACTGTTCGAAACGTCATATCTTCCTACTAGGTATTGCGAATGGCGCCAAACTTGTTCCAAAATGCTATAAATGTAGTAAATGCTTGAATGGTCACAAGAAACCTCTTTCAAAATAGCAAACGGATGATAATTTGGCATTACATATCGCACATGCTTATCCTTGCACAGCTTTCTCTGCTCAATTGCGCGAAACGTCATATCTTCCTACCAGATGCTGCAAATGACACCAAACTTGTTCCAAAATGCTATAGATATAGTAAATGCTTGAATGGTCACAAGAAACCACGTTCAAAATAACAAACGGACATAAATTTGGCACCACGTGTCGCACATGCATATCCTTGTGTCAGAATATTGTAACTTGTAGGCTGTAGTGGGGTAGCCAATATGGGGTACAACCCAGTTAGGGTTAGTACTTGTACCAAACTGTTTCATAGTTCATTCATTCCTGCTGCTAGTTTTTGACATGGTTTCAAAGCAGGTCCTATTCCAGGACCGTTCCCGTTAGGGCCCACCCGATCGTACCCTGCCGTCGCGCTGCCCCACCCGTCGCGCTGCTTTGCCCTGCCCTGCCCTGCGTAGTGCTACCCGCGCACGCTCTACCCTGCCAGCGTTGCGCCCCACCCGCGCACGCCCTGCCCTACGTCGCGCCCTACCCATGCACGCCCTGCCTGCATCGCGCGGCGCGTATGCCCTGCCCTGCCCGTCGCGCCGCCCACGTGCGCCCTGCCTATGTCGCGCCTCGCACATACGCCCTGCCCTGCCCGTCGCGCCGCCCGCACGCGCTCTGCCCTGCCCACGCGTCCCCTGCGTATGCCCTGCCTGCGTCGCGCCGCCCTGCGCGCGCCCAACCAGCGTCGTGCCGCCCGTGCGCGCCCTGCCCTACGTCGCGCCGCCCCGCACACGCCCAGGCTGCGTCGCGCCGCGCGCGTACGCTTTACCCTGCCCGTCGCGCCGCCCACGCCCGCCTTGCCCTGCATCGCGCTGCCCGCGCCCTGCCGTGCGTCGTGCAGCCCTACGCACGCCCTGCCCTGCCCGCGCGCCGCCCAGCTAACCGCGCGCGGCCCGTTTTCTGCCCGCACGCTGCCCTGGCCGCCGCGCGCCGCCCCTGCCTGCCTGCGCGCAGCCCTGTGCAGACCCGCGCGCCGCCTCGCTTGCCGCGCGCCGCTCCTGCTTGCCTGCGCGCCACCCTATTTGCAGTGCGCCGGTGCTCTGTCCGCGCGCCGCCCTGCTCTGGCCGCAAGCCGCCCTTCCCTGACCGTGCACCGCCTCGCCCTACCCTACGCACTGACCCTAGTACCTGCTCGCACGCCCAGCCTTCCTTGCTGCCCTACTAGTCGCACGCCTCCTTGTTTTGCCCGCTATGACTTCTCTTCGTGGTAGCGGTGAGAGTGGTGGCGGCGGCGGTGGCAGTAGTGGGAGTGGTGGCGGCGGCCGTAGTGGCAGTCGCGGTGGAGCTGTTCAGTGGGGAGTTTCTGGCAGTGGCCAGATGCAGCTGCAGCGGCGTCCGCGCGAGACCCTTACGTCCCAGCAGCTTCGTGAGTGGTACGCTCAGCGTGGGGCGTCTCGGAGTACTGCTCGCTGCCCGTACATCATTCGCACAGGTGATCGGGCTGGTCAGACTTGCGGGACAGTTGGCCATACCCAGTCCCGCTACTTCTCCTATCTGAGCGACGCCTGGCGCGCAGAGTTTGGCGACGAGGCTGAGCTCCCCCGCTGGCTAGAGCTGCTTCGGAACAATGTGGAAATATTTTCTCTATACTATGACGCTATCCTTGGTGCCATGTATGCTTTGACTATTGGTACTGAGGGTGACTGTTACCTGTGTGTGCTGCCCGACCTTAGTATAGAGGCTGCTGCTCTAGGTGCTAGTGAGTCTGCTCTCTCTGGTACTGCTCCTGCTGAGGCCTTGCACACCTTCACGCTTGACTCATGTGCTTCCCCCTGTTTCTTTCGCGACAGTACCACCGTCACACTACTCCCTCAACCCGTTTCAGTCTCACTAGCTTACCCCTCTAAGGGCCCGGTTCTTGCACGTTCCTCCACTGTTCTCCCATGTCTGGCGGTCCCGTCCAGCTCACTGTCAAGTCTCCACCTCCCCTCGTTCTCGATGAACTTGGTGAGTAACGCAGTCCTTCAGGATGCATGGGTTGATACCTTTACCCCTGGAGGCCAGCGTGTGGCAATGTGTACATGCTCCCGGACTGGCCGTCACCTAGCCACGTTCACCCGTCGGCCTGGGTCGAGCCTGTACACACTGACTACTAAGCCTCCCCAGGTAGCTGCGCCTGCTCAGGTGTCCTCGTCAGGTCAGGTCTCAGCCCCCTGCTCGTGTCGCCTCCTGTCGCACCAGACTCTCCTTTGGCACCACCGCCTTGGTCACCCCTCTCTGCCACGCCTCCGTGGCATGCACACCCGCCTCCTTGTGTCTGGTCTTCCCAGGTCTCTGGCCCCTCTCCCGTGCTCGCCTGCCTCGCCCTGCCTTCCTTGCGTTGTGGGGCGGCAGCGCGCCGCTCCTCACTCCTCCTCGTTTCCCCCGACGACTGCTCCCCTGCAGACTCTCCACATGGACGTGTGGGGCCCAGCCCGCGTCCAAGGACAGGGCCGCGAGCAATATATTCTGCTGGTTGTTGACGACTACTCGCGTTACTGTCAGAGGTCCACTGGGGATCCCCGATGATCCTAGGGAAGGGTTACAGGCATGTTGGCCTGGGGGGTTATGGGCGCACTCACCCGCTATACAAACAAGCCCTTTTATCCCAGTGGTTAGTGACTGGGATTCTGACATGGTATCAGAGCGAAGGTCTCGGGTTCGAATCCCGGTGTGTGCACCTCGGGCATCCCAGTGCGGGGGGGTGTCAGAGGTCCACTGGGGATCCCCGATGATCCTAGGGAAGGGTTACAGGCATGTTGGCCTGGGGGGTTATGGGCGCACTCACCCGCTATACAAACAAGCCCTTTTATCCCAGTGGTTAGTGACTGGGATTCTGACAGTTACACCTCGGTCTTCCCCTTGCGCACCAAGGGGGAGGTCCCTGATGTCTTGATCCCTTGGATCCGAGCTGTCCGTCTCCAGCTGCGCGAGCTCCAGCTCCTTCCTGTCCTGCGTCTGCACTCTGACAGAGGTGGTGAGTTCTCCTCCGACCTCTTGCGGGACTTTTGTCATGGGGAGGGCATCCTCCAGTCGTTCACGCTTTCGGCCTCCCCGCAGCAGAATGGGGTTGCTGAGCGCCGCATTGGCTTAGTCATGGAGGTCGCTCGTACCTCCATGATCCATGCGGCTGCTCCCCATTTTCTGTGGCCGTTTGCAGTTCGCATGGTACGTTGTGCATTAGCTCAACCTCTGGCCCCGTGTCTCCTTGCCGGAGACCTCGCCCACATTGCGTTGGACGGGGGAGGTTGGCGATGTGTCGCGCTTCCGGGTCTGGGGCTCTTGTGCCTTTGTCCGCGATACCACCGCGGACAAGCTCTCCTCGCGTGCCATTCCCTACGTCTTCCTTGGCTTTCCCCCTGACGCGCCTGGCTGGCGGTTATACCACCCCACCTCGCGCCGTATTCTAACCTCACAGGACGTCACGTTTGACGAGTCGGTTCCCTTCTACCGTCTCTTCCCCTACCGCACTGCCCCTCTCCCCCCCCCCCCCCCCGCTGCTCATCCTCGCGCTAGGTCCCTTTCCGGTAGACCCACTCCCCTTCAGGGTCCTGCTCCTTCAGGTGTCTCTCAGACAGACCCACTTTCCCTGGCTAAGCCTGTCAAGGTCACTAGTGACTCTGGTGCTGCTGGGGGTGGTGCTGCTCGGGGTGCTGCGTCTGGGGGTGCTGAGCCTGCGGGTGCGGGGCCTGGGGGTGCTGAGCCTATGGTTGCTGAGCCTGGGGGTGCTGCGTCTGAGGGTGCTGAGCCTGGGGGTGCTGAGCCTGAGGGTGCTGAGCCTGGGGGACGCTCTGCTGGAGTTGTAGGCCCTAGAGCTGGAGGCACTGGAGCTATAGGCGCTGGAGCTGCATGCGCTGGAGCTGGAGCTGCAAAGCTTGAGAGTGTTGAGCCTGAGGTTGCTGAGCCTGGGGGTGCTGCGTCTGAGGGTGCTGAGCCTGGGGGTGCTGAGCCTGGGAGTGCTGCGTCTACTGGTGGTCCTCCGAGTGCCTCGCTGCAGCGATCTAGCCAGCGAGAGCCTCTCTCGCCATGGCAGCTGCGCAAGTGGTTTGCTCGGCGCACCCGCCTTCGGAGTCGCATTGCTAGAGCTGGAGGCGTTGGAGCTGGAGGCACTGGCGCCGGGGGCGCTGGAGCTCCAGGAGCGGGGGCTGGAGGTGCTGGAGCTGGAGGCCCTGGCACTGGAGGCGCTGGAGCTGCGGGCACTGGTACTGGAGGCGCTAGAGCTGACGGTGCTGGAGCTTGAGGCACTGGAGCTGGAGGCGCTGGAGCTGGAGGCGTTGGAGCTGGAGACACTGGAGCTGGAGGCGCTGGAGCTGGAGGCGCTGGAGCTGGAGGTGCTGGAGCTGGAGGTGCTGGAGCTGGAGGCGCTGGAGCTGCAGGCACTAGTGCTGGAGGCGCTGCTGCTGGAGGTGCTGGAGCTGGAGGTGCTGGAGCTGGAGGCCCTGTGCAGCAGCGACCGTTTTTCTTGCCGCCGCCGCAGCTGTCCGACCTTCTGCCCGAGTCGGTGCTTCGTCAGGTTCTCGGTCTTCCTTCGTCCACCACCCTGGACTCACCGCTGCCTGCCCCGCCTCGTTACACTGAACAGCCGTTCTCCCTTACAGAGCGTCGTGAGCCTGCGTCTCGTCCTGCCTCCCTTGTTTGCACTGTTCGCCGTGCTCCTCGTGTCCTGCGTCCGCGTTCTCCTCCTGTACTAGGTACTCACACTATGGCACTTCGTCCTTCCTTTGCTACACAACGCGTCCCTCTGCCGTCTCCCCCTGCGTCCTCTCTTCCTGACGTTCCGGACCCTGAGTCTGACCATGTTCGTGCAGCCAGCCCTACAGTCATACGTCTCCTGGCTACTGTTGTCACTGACCCGTCGTTTGAGTCTACTGACGCATCTACCTTAGTTGCTGAGCTTGTGGACTTTGCTGCTGCGTGTCGTCTAGACTACGCCGCCAGTCTTGTTGCTGAGTCTGAGTCTGTCTGTCCTCCATCTATCGGGGGTGAGTGTGCTCTTGGCACGGACGTCCTTGATGACAGGCAGGAGGACTTTGAGTGTCTTGCGGCTGCTGTACCTCATCTCGTGGCCTGGCTGCTTGCACCTGAGGGAGACTCGGATGCACTGGACATCCCGACCCCGCGCTCTTACGCAGAGGCGATCACGGGTCCCTACTCCTCTAAGTGTTAGACAGCCATGGACGCAGAGATGGCATCATGGAAGTCCACAGGCACTTACGTCGACGCAGTTCCCCCTCCTGGGGCGAACATAGTCGATGGCATGTGGATTTTCAGGGTGAAGCGGCCGTCGGGTTCTCCGCCTGTCTTCAAGGCTCGTTACGTTGCACGAGTTTTCAGTCGACGACATGGAGTTGACTTCTTCCAGACCTTCTCCCCTACCTCGAAGATGACCACTCTTCGGGTGCTGCTTCACGTTGCCGCTCAGCGTGACTATGAGCTTCACTCTCTTGACTTCAGCACAGCGTCCTTAGAGGGCAGCCTGAACAAGGAGATCTGGCTGCGTTGCCCTCCTGGCTTCACTGGGTCGTTTCCTGCTGGTACCCAGTGGAGCCTCCGGCGGCCAGTCTACGGTCTCCGCCAGGCGCCTCGTGAGTGGCACGACACACTGAGGACGACACTTGCGGCTCTTGGGTTTGCTCCTTCCACTGCTGACCCGTCACTGTTTCTGCGCACCGTCACTTTGTTGCCGCCGTTATATATCCTCGTGTACGTCGACGACTTGGTTTTTGCCACTGCTGACACTGAGGCACTGGCCCTTGTGAAGTCGGAGCTACAGAAGAGACACACGTGCACAGACCTGAGTAAGCTGCACAGCTATCTTGGCTTGCAGATCACCCGGGACAGAGCACGACGCACCATCACCCTGACTCAGTCATACATGGTGCAGCAGGTCCTTCAGCGCTTCGGCTTCCAGTTCTCCCCACCAAAGTGCACTTCTCTGCCTACTGGTCACTCTCTCTCAGATCCACCTTCGGACGAGTCCGTAGAGCCGAGTGGCCCGTATCCAGAGCTTGTGGGCTGCCTCACGTACCTTATCACATGCATGCGACCTAACCTTACGTACCCTCTTAGCATCCTGGCTCGCTACGTTGCGCCTGGGAGACACCGGCGAGAGCACTGGGAGGCTGCTAAGAGGGTGCTGTGCTACTTGTGCAGTACATCGGGCATGGGGCTGGTGCTTGGAGGAGGAGGTCGAGTTGTCCTCACGAACAATCAGACGCCTCTAGGGTTGACGACCTGGCTACGCAGCGGTCGTCACAGGGTTACACGTTCAGCCTTGGTTCCGGCTCTGTTTCTTTTCAGTCTACCCGCTCGTCTTCCGTTCTCACAGAACAAAGTACATCGCTCTGCGTTACTTCCTTGCTCAAGAGTTGCAGCAGCGTGGCCAGCTTCGTCTTGCTTACATGGCCACTCGGGCCAACACAGCTGATATATTCACCAAGGCACTTCCGTCTGGTGATCATCAGCGTCTCTGTACTGCTTTAGGCCTCGTGCCTACGTTTGCGGACTTGCTCACTGCATGACTTTGCTTGTACTGTGATCTATATATATATATATATATATATAAATATATACATATGCATGCTTGCACTTGCTAGGTGGTGATCACTGTACTGTTTGCTTTGTTTTATATAACTCTGCATGTGAACTGGCCTTGTGGCCATTTGCTTGTGCTCAGAATGTGTGGTGACTAAGTGATCCGCCCTGAGCTTGCCTTGCTTTCTGTGACTCCTTGTACTCCCCCACCTTGCCTATGGGGGTGTGTCAGAACATTGTGATTTGTAGGTTGTACTGGGGTAGCCAATATGGGGTACAACCCAGTTAGGGTTAGTACTTGTACCAAACTGTTTCATAGTTCATTCATTCCTGCTGCTAGTTTCTGACACATTGCACAGTCTTCACAGCTGAAATGTTCAGAGCAGCATATCTTCCTACCAGATGCTGCGGATTGCACCAAACTTGTTCGACACTGCTAAAAATATAGTATTCATTGAAAGATCACAAGAAACATTGTTTGAAATGGACGTTAATTTAGCACCACGTGTCGCATACGCCTATCATTGCACAGTCTTCTCTACTGAATTGTTCGAAATAGCATATCTTCCTAGCAGATGTTGCGAATCGCACCAAACTCCATCGACAATGCTTGAAATATAGTATATGCTTGATTGATAAAAAAAAAAAAACCTTATTTATAGTAACAAACAGACGTTTACTTGTCACCACTTCTCGCACCGACCTATCCTTGACGAGCCTAAGGCTACAAAAGGATTTGAATTTTTCAAGGACGGACAAGCGTACCATTCAAAGTCGGAATACTAATTATTATATACCGTTATAGAATCCAAAACTGACTGTAACGGTAATTAGTTAACGTATGAACGCAACATATATGCATTGTTATTCAATGGCATGCAAATTATCAGAACTAAAACAACATGACATGGGCACTTGTTTCTTAAGAATCAAATGACGAGTTTTATGAATAACTAGTGAACTTAAATTCTTTTAACTGTGTATATACATATGCAAACATAAATGCATTCTGATTTGTACACTAAACCACGCGCATATTCAGGTTATTCAGGTTCGGGTTCATCGCCCGAGCCACGCAAACACTTTGATTCGTTTCGGAAGCCCGAGCCACGGAAGTTGCCATCAAAATCGCGCCATGCAAGACAAAACATACCCCAACGTAACCCCCACACAATGGCCCCAACCAAATGCACGCGGGGTTTGGGGTATGTTTCAAAGTATCGCTAGGAAACATACCCCTCTAGTGTTGGCATTTTTGGGATGGCGGCAGCTGAAGGAGCCTTTGAACGAGACGGCACGCGCCGCGTAACTGGTAACCAGCACATTAAAAAACTTCGCCGCTCATCGCCAACCCATTACTGACAAATCGGTACGACAGAATCGAGACAAATTGCGGAAGGTGGGGAGAGCGCCCAGACAGCGATGATGAGGACAGTGCGCCGCAAACTACTACGATGGGGCCGCGGCGGACGCGGCGGAACGGATGGAGCCGGAAACGGCAGAAAGGGCGGAAAGAGCGGAAAGGGCGGGAAGGGCGGAAAGGGCGGGAGAAGCAACCTGACGTCGAGGAAGGTGTGGGACGTCTTGAGGAGCGCCTTGGCCTCGCGTGGCGGCACGGTGGCAAATTCCGCCATGGATGCGACGAGGCGTCGCAGCGGAACGGAGGCAATTGCTCGGGTGGAGTTGGCGGCGCTCGCTGCTATGCAGCTAGCTCGCTGCATGCCCAAGTAAGGAGGCAAGAGTGTGCTTGCTGCTGCCCTAATATCGCCGTTATGTGTGTGTCGGCGAGAAGAATGGAGAGAACAGCGGTCAAAAGCGGTGTTGTCGTAATAATAGATCCATGAATGGCACGGTAATGAGTTTATTCCAAGGGCGGGTAGGCGGAGAAGGTAGGAGATGGAGGGAGGGGAGAATGTTGTGCTTTCGGCTCAACGGAAAGATGATCCAAGATTACTGGAGGCACAACTGCTCCCTCTACCAAATGCAGTGAATCTGGTGAGGTTGCTAGTCAATCGATATTGAAAGTTGCGTTACGAGGCCTGACATCATGCTGAATGAGGAGCTAACATAATCATTTACGACTACGGATTTATGCATTGCATGCTGTATTACGTCCTTCAAAAAAAGAACTCAAGTAATGTAATCATCTTCTCAATTTACTCATCGCGTCGTAAAAAATACACCTAAAAATTCCCAACCCTTGCTTGTTCATTCATTCCTAGTGGCGGCGGCGGCGGGGTCGGTGGTGGCAGTGGTCGTGGTGGCAGTGGGAGCAGTGGTGGCGGGAGTGGCAGCGGCGGGAGTGGTGGCAGCGGCGGCGGTGGTGATCGCTCTAGCGCAGATCAGCAGCAGCAGCAGTAGCATCCACATGAGGCCCTCTCACCCCAGGAGCTTCGTGAGTGGCTTGGTCAGCGTACTGCTTCTAGGGGTGGTGGTAGTGGTCGCTGCGCGCACATTATTCGCACAGGTTCCTACGCTGGTCAGACCTTCGGGAAGTTTCACACCCAGCACCGCTGTTTCTCCCGCCTAGACGACGCTTGGCGTCAGGAGATGGGTGAGGAGCATGAGCTGCCCCGCTGGCCAGACCTGATTAAGATTGGTGTTGATGTCTTTGCTCTAGACTTTGATGCTATTCTTATTGGCATGTATGCTGTGTCTACTAGTGTTGCGGGTGACTGTTACTTGTGTGCGCCGTATGACCCTGGTATAGAGGCTACTGCTCTAGGTGCTAGTGAGTCTGCTCTCTCTGGTACTGCGCCTGCTGAGACCTCGCACACCTTCACGCTTGACTCAGGTGCTTCTCGCTGCTTCTTTCGCGACAGTACCACAGTCACACCACTCACCAGGCTTGTTGCTGTTTCCCTGGCTGACCCCTCTGGGGGCCCGGTCCTTGCACGCGCCTCTACTGTGCTCCCGTGCCCGGCCGTTCCGTCCGGTTCCCTGTTAGGTCTCCACCTCACCTCGTTCTCGACGAACTTGGTGAGCAACGCAGTCCTCCAGGATGCATAGGTTGATACCTTTACACCTGGATGGCAGCGTGTGGCGATCTGTACGTGCTCTCGGACTGGCCGTCACCTGGCCACGTTCACTCGTCGGCCGGGGTCGAGTCTGTACACACTGACTACTGCGCCGCCTCAGGTCGCTGCGTCTGCTCAGGTGTCCCCGTCAGGTCCGGTAGCAGCCCCCTGTGAGTGTCGCCGCCTGTCGCACCAGACTCTCCTTTGGCACCACCGCCTTGGTCACCCCTCCCTGCCACGCCTTCGTGGCATGCACTCTTGGCTTCTGGTCTCTGGTCCTCCCTCTGCCGTCCCTACCTCCCTCGCCTGCCCCGCCCTGCATTCCTTGCATCGAGGGGCGGCAGCGCGCCGCTCCTCACTCCTCCCTGTCTCCCCTGTCCACATTGTTCGCGCTGCTCGTCGTGTCTCACGTCCGCGTCCTCCTCATGTGCCAGGTACTCACACTATGGCACTTCGTCCTTCCACCGCTCCGCAGCGTGTCCCTCTGCCGTCTCCTCCTGCGTCCTCTCTTCCTGAGCTTCCTGACCCTGAGTCTGACCGTGTTCGTGCTGCCAGCCCTACTGTCACGCATCTTCTTGCTACTGCTGTCACTGACCCGTCGTTTGAGTCTACTGCT